TAATACCGCAAAGTTAAACAAAACCCAGAACCTGTAGGTGCCAGCAGGGGCGAGGGAAAGGAGGAAGGGGAGAAAAGGAAGCCAGACTCGAGAGCCAGGGAGCCGGGGCGGGGCGCAGGAGAGGCAGCCACCAGGGACTAGCCTGCGAGGCACCAGGCAGGCAGGAGGGCTGAAGCTTCGGTGAGTGGGTCCCGATGGAAGCCCTCGAGCCCCCGCCTGCCCCACCAGTCAGGTGTGCAGCTGACTAGAGTTGGGGCTCTGGAGGAAGCCTGCAGCTGGCCTCACTCGAGGGGACGCTGCACACAGGAGGCCACATGTGGGTCAGTTTCAGGCTCAGAGTTGTTAGAGGAAACACTGGGCAGACACAGCAGCAGAGGCGGCTGCCCCGACGAGAGTCCCATTAGCTCCTGCCTCAGTTGCACACCTGGACTCCGGACTCTGTCCGTGGGAGTTCAAATCCAGCTCCTGCTCGTTTGCTCTTTTTTTTTGGTACGGGGGATCGAACTCGGGTCCTTGCGCTTGCGCAGCCAGTGGTGAAACCACTGAGCTAAATCCCCGGCCCTTGTTTCCTCTTTGATGTGAGCAAGTGTCTTAACCCCTTCACAGTTCTGCTTGCTCCCTGACCCCTGGGAACTGAGAGGGCCAAGGGAAGGGAGGGCTGGCCGGGGCACTGGCCCGAAGGGCCTGCTGGATGGGAGCTGTGGGCCCAGGGAGTAGAGCAGGAACACAGACTGGCTCCCAAGTTAGCGATCCTGCAGCAGTAGGGAGTGAACTCAGGGCTTTTTGCCCTGGCTGCAGCCCAGTCCTTCTTTCCTTCCTTCCTCACTTATATTTGAGATGAGGCCCAGCAGCGCCTCTTCGAGCCTGGCCCATCAGCTCAGGTCCTTTCTAGCTCCCCAGGGCTGAGCCCTCAGCTCCTGAGTCGAGCTCTGTGTGGGTTGGCAGCTCTGTCTGTGGGAGCTCGGTACTTACACTCTGGGAAGTGTCTGCCGGGCCTCGGACACGGAGCCGCCTCGCTCATCAGGCTGCTCTATAGGAAGCACCACGGGGCTAGAAGTTTGCTTTCTGTATGACTGGGTGGCTACGGGCGGGGAGGAGGACTCACACAGGGTGTTTTCCACACGATGTCCACCACCTGTCACAGAGTGCTCGCTTCATGGGACTTTCAGGTTGTCCTTTGAATGTGGTAAAGTGTGAAATCTCAGAGGACTTGTCGTCTTGTCTTGTCCTTGCTGACAGGTGATGAGACCTTCAGCTCCAGTCTCGCTGAAGGGCAGGAGGGAGGAGAGGGCTGGCTGGGCCAGGAGAGAGGGGAAGATCGCTGTGAATTCTGCTGCTTTGGGTTTTGTTGCTTTTTTTTTTTTTTTTTTCTTTTTTTTTGCAGGGGTCCCCCAAGGGTTTTGTTGCTTTTTTTTTTTTTTTTTTTTTTTTTTTTTTTTTTGGTACTGGGGATTGAACTCGGGACCTTGCGCTTGTGAGGCAGGTGGTGGAACCACTGAGCTAAATCCCCGGCCCTTTTGTTGCCTTTTTTAAACAAAGGAAATGAGTACCCAGTGATCTACTCCTTAAAGTTTTAACATTGGCAAAAATGATGCTGGATCCTTTCTTACATGGCTCTGAAATGCCCTTCCCTGATACTTCCTGGGAGAGGCGGTGGCCCTCAGACTCTGCAAGATTGAAGCCTCCAGTTGCCATTTTTGCCTGTGGTCACGTTAAGGCCTTTCCAGCAGCTGCCGTGGTTTTTCAGCCATTTGCTTTAGTATTTCTGTTGTAATTTAGCATCCGCACTGTCAAATGCATCTCCATGCCCCTCTCACCAAAGAAGTCTTTCCTGCTTGTTGTGTTGATAGAAGCAAGGAAAGCAAAGTGAAGTTCTTCAGGAAGCTTTGGTCCAAACTGGGCCTATGTATAGCTGTGGCACTTCCTGTGCTTTATCTTCCTGTTTCCTTCTAACAAGCGTGGTGCCTGCAGGGTGTCTTGTCTGCTGGTCCTGTCGAGTATGGTGTTCTCATTGACTCGGGGGTTTTCTTTCCATCCACATCTGAACCAGGTCCATTTATTTGCCTTCCAGAAGCAGGAAGCAAGGAGGCTTTGGCTGAGGACTTGGGGGAGACCGGTGCCGGAGGGCCAGCTCCCCACCTGAGAACGGCCCAGGAGGAGGCATCTTGGCACAGCAGAAATGTCCTGTGGACATTGTGTTGTGGTTTAAGGCTCTTTATGTTTAGTTGGGTTTGTTGCTTGCTTTTACGGAAGTGGTTATTGAGATGGGTTCTGGGCACTTGGGCAGGTGCCTGGCCGCACCAGTCAGTGACAGCCTCTGCCTTGCTGCATCCTGAGGGGCTGCAGTGGGCTCCCCAGGCCCTCCACTCCCTCCTTCCCCTCAGGACTTCCGTGTGCTCACTCGCCTCGCCTGTGCATGCCGCCTGACCCACCCTCAGCCTGGTGCTGTACCCTCTCCGAGGAAGCTCTGTTCCCCTTGCCCTCTGCCTCAGGGCTGCCCACAAAACCGCTCTGGACACCTTGCGCCTGCAGGAGTGGAGGCTCACTTGCCCGCGCAGCGCCGCTGCTTCTGCCTCCTCTCCCTCCAGCCACTGCCGAACTGAACCGACCTCTGATTTCCGCCTTCCTCACTGCGCCTTCTTCTGTGGAGAGCTCAGGGGCCCTAGAGCTGGGTCTTGGGGTTCGTGGCTGCCTCACTTGCTTTCCTGGTTGTTTTCCTTGGCTGCAGAGCGGCCTTCCTGGCTGCCTCCTGGGCAGAACCTGGGGGTTTTACACACTGCTGTGCCTCCCCTCCCCTGCTGCCGCCGCCCCACCACAGCCACACAGTGGGCCAACTCTGTTCATGGCCCGGAATGTTGTCTTAGCTCCCTAACCAGTCCCTCGCCCGTTCCGTCCCTACTGCTAGGGCATCTCTCCTGCTACTTCTCTGTTCAGAAGCCTTTGGCACCAGTCGGGCGTGGTGACACAGGCTGGTGATCCCAGAACTCTTCGACACTGAGGCAGAAGGACTGCAAGTTTGAGCCCAGCCTGGGCAACTTAGCAAGACTCAAAATTTAAAACATGAAGGGCTAGAGATACAGCTCAGTGCAAGGGTTGACCCCACTACTTTGCAAGATAGAAAAGGAAACAAAAAGAGGCCCTTGGTGCCTCACTGTCTGTTGCACTGCCAGTAGACAGACGGAGTGAGCGCAGATGCACTCGGGAGAGGATACATTTGATTGTATGCAGTGTGTGCATCACCACCTCAGCAAGCAGCTGCGTGGAGGTGTTGGGGAGTGGGCCGGCCCTCTTTGTCCACGCACAGGCCTCAGGGCCAGCCTGTGTTTCACATGCAGTCCATCTCAGGCATGCAGGACTTCAGGCCCTGTGTCGTGTCCCAACCCCCGTGGCCTCTCCCCTCACATCCACCCGCCTCTGTCTGCCAGAGCCTCGAGGGACAGGCATGGAGCCCAGGGCTGCTTGGCAGGTGCTGTCCCGCTGCTGAGCTGCATCCCCAGCCGAGAGGGCTCGGGTTTGACCGAGGTCTTCACAGCACCCTTCCGGACAGAGGTCACATCTGACAGGAGGTCCTGTTGCTTAGCACTGGGCGCTAAGGGGAGCCCTTTTTTTAACTAGACATTTTCAGGCACAAAAATATAGCCTATGCTGCAGACTTGGTTGTAATTGAATAGCAAGTTCCAGGTATTTCTGTGTCTTGGTTTGAAGGACAGGCCCTGGCCCTGAGCCTGTCCTCTCTGCGGAAACCCATCCCCAGATGCGTCTGTCTCGGCTGCTGTCTGGCCCTTGTCTCCATGTGGCTGTTCCCGCTGGAAAGAAGCCCTTTCTCAGCCTCCTGGCGGCAGCTTCCTCCCCCAGCACACACACGGGTTTCCTGCTTCGGGAACAGAGCTGTTGTTGGTGCCAGGGCCCAGTGCCTGGCGTGTCACAGGCAAGCCAGCCCGGGCGAATGAATGGGATGCTGGGCAGCCTCTGAAGCCTCACCGGCTGCTCTCCTCCTGGGTCTCGGGCAGTAGCACCACCTTCCCCAGGAGAAGCAGGCTGCCATCTGGCCAGAGGGAACAGGAGCGGTTCCAGGGAGGTGGCTGGCACTGTCTTAAGGAGTGACCCAGCTGTCTGCCAGGGCATGGAGCCTGCAGCCGAGCTCCCCAGACCTGTGAGCTCTGCCCTGGCTTGAGGTTGCTGGCTTTTACCTGCATGTCGCCCAGGGGCAGTCTTCACAGTAAACTCCTGCTTAGCCTTGCAGCTGCACGAGGGGGCCCGTACTATGGAGGAGGGGAGTGGAGGTGAGTGCGCAGCGTGAGCAGGGAGGGGACGGGCTGACTTCCCCAGTGCTGCTGACGGTGTGGGAGGACAGTGAATTACGGGGGCGCCACCTGCTCGCCTCAGCCCAGACCCACCTACAGGGCAGTCCGGAGAGTCAGAGGGCGAGTGTGGAGCAGCCGGCCGTGCCCAGCACCCAGAGCTTGTGCTCAGATGGGCGTTGCACTGCCGGCTGCCCTGTGCCTGGTGCCTGAGACCTGTTCTGTTCCCCTGAGTGGGGCAGGCAGGTGTGAAACCGTCTCCACCAGCACGGCTCAGGGTCTTGCGCCCTGGTCTCCAGTCACTCGCACAGCGGCCCCGGACAGCGCGCTGGAGGCTGACAGACGGCCCAGCAGTGCTGCAGTAAGCAGCGCAGGCTCTGCCCGGTGCCCGCCATGCTGCTCTTCCATTGGGAAGGAAGCTTTTTATTTTTATTTATTTATTTTTTGGTACCGGGGATTGAACTTGGGACTTTGTGCTTGCAAGGCAGACAGCGGAACCACTGAGCTAAATCCCTGGCCAGGGAAGCTTTTTTAGCGTACCCATGTCGTCACAGTGACAACTACTTCACTGAAACACTCTGCACATCTCACCATGGCAGAGGAACATGGTTTTGACTTGACAGGATTTGTTTTTGAGTCTGAATGGAATTTATTGTTTTGCGCTTTTTTTAAAGGTGCAAAATAAAATTCACTTCTAGCCATACTGCTGGGAGTTTTTATGTCCTTAACATTTTCTGCACTCAGTAGAGTAACAGGGAAGGGATCTTGGAAACTTGGGTCTTGGTTGGTTCTGCTGAGTGAGAGGTACAAGGCCAGGGGCAGCAGCTGCTCTTCAGCCACCCGAGAGGCCTGGCGGGAGATCGGGGACCCCCTGCGACACGGCCACCTGGCAGGGTGCGACAGCTGAGTGCATGCTGCCAAGAGCTCTCATGGGGACCGGGCTCCCCACCTCCCCAGAGCCCGACCCAGCCCTGCTGTACCTGTGGGCTGCTCCCTGTGAGGCCTCCCGGGAACCCTGGCAGGCGGTGCTGCATTGTGCTGGCTGGCGCCTTCTGTAGGTAGGTCAGTGGGAGCAGAGGAAGAGGCAGCAGGTGGCAGTGTTGGCTGTGTCCCCAAGGGCGGTGCCTGTGAATGTAAGAGCCCGGACCTGCCCTTCTGTGGCAGTAAGCAGTGGTCCCTGCCGCAGTGACCTTCTCCTGACTCACACAGCCCGAGCCCTGGGTGCGTCTTCCCCGTCTGGGGCCATTTGTTTCCTACCTGCTTTCTGAGCTCCCAGATTCATGCACGGAGCTTACTTGGCTCATTAGTTTCTTCTCCCTCCTGTAACAAGTCAGCCACCTCCTTTGTGTGAAGAAGCACACGTAGCAGACACTGGCCTCAGACAGCTTGGCGGCGTCCCCTTCAGTGTGTCCTGGGGGCTGTTTGGGTGAAGCCGGGACGGTATGTGGCAGCGTTGGTAGGGGAGTTCCCGGGCAGGGACTCGGTGCTGGCGAGTCCTGGTGAAGGTCCGAGACCAGGCAGCACAGACAGGGATCAGCCTGGCGGAGGCCGCTGTGCCTGGTCCCTCCCGCCACAGGGCACGGGTGGTTCCCCCTTCCTGACCAGATACTGCCGCAGGCCTGTGAGGGCAGCAGCCAGGGTGGGGCCAGGAGTGAGGCACAGCGACAGCGGGCTAATCAGCCACCCAGGCCTGGAAGAAATCCATGCAGAGGTGCATGAGGCCAGTGCAGCCGAGCGGGGCGCCTCAGTGAGCCCCACCAGCCCTGTACGTGGCAGGCAGAGGCTGCAGAGTTGCCTTCCGCCCTGGAGCAGCCAGAGCAGTGCAGGACCCATAGTGACAGCACAGAGAGAAAGCCGGCAGAGCTGCAGCGCCCGCAGGTTGGGGTGCTCCTCTGTAGAAAGGCGCCAGGGCACCCGGCACCCAGCGTGATGCTTGGCGCAGAGGAGGAGGCCCACGGTGATGGCCGGTGGCTCGGCCCCCGGCCGCAGCTCTAGAATGCAGTTGTGCAGGGCCAGACTCCTGGCTGCCTGGCCACCCAAGACGCAGATGGCTGCCTGGGTGGACGTCCCCTGAGGCCGGCAGTGTTCTTGCTGGCAGAGAAGAGCCTTCCACTGCTCCCTTGTGATAACCTCTTCTCCTTTGTCTTCACAGAGACTAATAGACAAGGCACGCGTAACCTGTGTCAAATGGGTGCCCGGCTCGGAAAGCCTTTTCCTAGTAGCCCATTCGAGTGGGAACATGTACTTGTATAATGTGGAGCACACTTGTGGCACCACAGCCCCCCACTACCAGCTCCTGAAGCAGGGAGAGAGCTTTGCCGTGCACACTTGCAAGAGCAAATCCACGAGGAACCCTCTCCTTAAGTGGACGGTGGGCGAGGGGGCCCTCAACGAGTTTGCTTTCTCCCCAGATGGCAAGTTCTTGGCGTGCGTGAGCCAGGACGGGTTTCTGCGGGTGTTCAACTTCGACTCCGTGGAGCTCCATGGTACGATGAAAAGCTACTTTGGGGGCTTGCTGTGTGTGTGCTGGAGCCCGGACGGCAAGTACATTGTGACGGGCGGGGAGGACGACTTGGTGACAGTCTGGTCTTTCGTGGACTGCCGAGTGATAGCGAGAGGCCACGGGCACAAGTCCTGGGTCAGCGTTGTGGCGTTCGATCCCTACACCACTAGCGTAGAAGAGAGCGACCCCATGGAGTTTAGCGGCAGTGACGAGGACTTCCAGGACCTTCTTCATTTTGGCAGAGATCGAGCCAATAGCACGCAGTCGCGGCTGTCCAAGCGGAACTCTACTGACAGCCGCCCCGTCAGTGTCACCTATCGGTTTGGCTCGGTGGGCCAGGACACACAGCTGTGCTTGTGGGACCTTACGGAAGACATCCTTTTCCCCCACCAGCCACTCTCGAGAGCAAGGACACACACCAACGTCATGAATGCCACAAGTCCCCCTGCCGGGAGCAACGGGAACAGCGTCACAACGCCCGGGAACTCTGTGCCCCCACCGCTGCCGCGGTCCAACAGCCTCCCTCATGCGGCTGTCTCGAACGCTGGCAGCAAAAGCAGTGTCATGGACGGGGCCATCGCATCCGGGGTCAGCAAGTTCGCCACCCTCTCGCTGCACGACCGGAAGGAGAGGCACCACGAGAAAGACCACAAGCGGAACCACAGCATGGGGCACATTTCCAGCAAGAGCAGTGACAAACTGAACCTCGTTACCAAAACCAAAACAGACTCGGCCAAAACTCTAGGGACGCCCCTGTGTCCCCGGATGGAAGACGTTCCCTTGTTAGAGCCGCTGATCTGTAAAAAGGTAGCACACGGAAGACTGACCGTGTTAATTTTTCTTGAAGACTGTATAGTCACTGCTTGTCAGGAGGGATTTATTTGCACATGGGGAAGGCCTGGTAAAGTGGTAAGTTTTAACCCTTAATGCTGCACCAGATCTAGAACTTGAATAGGTAGTGATTTCTTTTCTTGCGGGAGGGGCGGGGTGTACAATGAATGTGAATGACACTTCTTACTCTTAATGTAAATCTAAATGCATCAGAGCCATAATTTTGGATACTGCATGCCATGTAATTCCGAGTCATTTGATAATTCACCTTAGAGCATTTAAAACTATATAATCAAACTAATTGCCAGCCGAGTCCGTCACCCTCCAGGGAGCCCGTAGAGCCCTGGGTAGCGATCCTGCAGTTTAGGGAATCATGACCATGGGGAGCAATGACTTCAAACGCTGAACTTAAATTGATGCTTTAACTGGAATATTTTTCTTAACCACTCAACTAGAATATTGTACACCAGATCAGAGAGTGTGTTCAGTACAGATGGCCATTAATTGTCATTTATAGTCCAATTTTGTATCTTAATCATAAAATGTTTAGGAATCTATGAAATTTAACTTTAGGAACAAAGCGTCGGGCAGGGTTGATGATATTATTTTTACATTGTTCTGGCAATCCACAGAAAGAGAAGAGCCTTAATTTTTAAAACCCATTTTAGTCATTTTATGACAATTAAAATTGTTTAATAAACATCTTTTTCCAAAGAAGCAGTCTGCAGGACTCTGATTGAGACTCTGTGCACAGAACCGTTCATGTGACCAGAGCTGGCCGGGCCGGCGCGGCTGTCAGAGTTGCCTCCGCACACACGCACGCACACCGACTCGTGTGCCATGCGCACTTGCCTTGTGTTCCTTCCCACAGGAGCAGGAGATTTCCTTTGTTTTGTTTTGTGTTTCGGGCCGGCAGGCCTGAGCCCAACACAGCTCCGCCGCCTCTCTGAGGGCGGCAGCGGCGAGGCCAGGCTGACCCTGCCGGGGATGCTGGCGGCCTGGCGCTGGACCCCTCCTCTGCAGGGGCCGCAGGCCCTCGAATCCCAGCACTCTCAGCTCTCAGCAGATGACTCGAGAGGCTTCTTGGGGCTCTCGGTGTCCAGGTGAGAGCTGTGCTGTTTATTAACTCGCTCTGAGCACTGAGGGGACTTTTCTGTTTCGCACGCCTTTGTAAGGAGACCCTGTGGTGACGAATGGACACTGGCCTACAGTACGCTTCCTGGTGTCTAGGCTGCTGGGCCTGCAGCACCTCCCGGGACCAACTGCCACGGCCACATTGCCCGTGCACGGGCAAAGGACAGAACCGGAGGGTCTCGGCACAGTGCTTACACGCGCAGTCCACACCGGGCACAGCGGCTTCCAGCCAGCCCCTCAGTCGCCGCTCCCGTGGTAGCCCTGGCATCGCCCAGCAGCCACCCAGCCCTCCTCACCCATCCTGCCCTCAGGTCCTGCCCGCATGGGAGAGCACGGGGACCCTACCTCTGCTCCTGGAAGCACGGGTGCTGCAGGGCCTGGTGGGCAGCGATGCACTCGTCCGCGTCATAGGCCATCACTGCATGCAGGAGACAGAGGCACTTCGGGGATAAACTGGCTGTCAGAGGAATTCCTGATCCCTTTTTTAAAAGGAAAATCAAAACTCATAGCTCTTGACCTGCATTGAAAGCCCAGTGGTAAACGATCATGCACCGTCCGGAGCTTGCGCCATCACCACCTGCCTTGAAGGGACCTGTGGGCGGGAACAGTTCCTGATCTGCTACGGGCAGGCCCTGCCCATGCAAGCACGATGGGACAGCAGCCTGGAGTGGATGGGCCCGGGACGCAGGGGCAGGCAGGGGCAGGCAGGGACACATGCACCGCCTGCTTACTGCTGCTGAGCCTCAACATGCTCTGAAACAGTCTCCTTCAAAGCACTGCGCCGCACCTGTAGTCCCAGCTACTCCAAAGGCTGAGGCAGGAGGATTGCAAGTTCAAGCCCACCCTGGGCGACTTAGTAAGACCCTGTCTCAAAATAAAATTTAAAAACTGGGGAAGGTGTACATGGAATCCTTTGTGTTATAAACTTGAGAAAACCACCTTTCCTGTAAAGGATTAATATTTCCTTCTCATCTGAGAAGGAGAAAGCTGAAGAAAAGGAGAACAACCAAAACACCCCGAAGCCCAGAATGGCTATGATCTGCATCCTCCCAGGGCCCCAGGGCTGCTGGGGTCCCTTTGGCCTGCAGAAGCCGGGGTGGTGCACCATCCTCCTGTGCGGCCCCTGCCGGGGAGGGCTTCCCACCCAAGCTTCTCAAGTGCTAGGTGAAATTCTGGGGATAAAACCCAAGTCCCAGGGCCCCAGGGAAATGCCAAGGACTTTCTGTGCTGCTCATGAAGAGTGCACTCGGCTGACCTCGAAGACACAAGCTTTGGCGGGCATGGCAGTGCACACCTACAATCCCACACTCTGGAGGCTGAGGCAGGAGGATCCTAAATTCAAGCCCAGGCTGGGCAACTTAGCTTAGTGAGATCTTGTCTCAAAATGAAATAAAAAGGGCTGGGGATGTAGTTCAGTGCAAAGACCCTGGATTCAGTCACACGAGCTGGCTCGGGCCCGGGCAGCCCCCTTGTAGCCAGCTGGGCCCAGTGAACTGCTGAGGGCGCCAGGACAGCTCGCCCTGCTCCAGTCTGGCCAGGGCGAGCTCTTGAGGCCCCACACTTCCTGTTTGAACTTGGTAAGGGTCTTTGGGGCGGGCGGGCGTGCCGATGATGTCATGGATCTTTGAGATCTGGTCCAGTTCCTTCACCCCAGGGAAGAGGGGCTGTGGGCTGGGGGTGACAGGGGCAGGCGCTCAGTTCCGTTTGGGGTTCTCCTGGTGTGTCCTTGCCCTGCAGCCACCCGGGGGCTGGGACTCTGTGGCTCTGCCCCCACCCGGGTGCCCTCTGCCCCTGAGGGTGACCTGTTGGTGACCACACCAGGCAACTGCAGCAGCCTCCGGCTCCCAGCAGAGCTGTGCAGCCAGGTTTGGGGTCAGGCCAGGCCTCAAGGACAGACTTGTAAGAGATTTTAGAGCTGGATAGAAATGCCACACGCATTGCACACCACCAAGCAGAGCTCAAAATTTGGCTCTGGCAGTGGCCCGGCTGGCGCCTGGCTGGTGACAGGAGAGAGAATAGGCTGAGGGTGGGCGCACAGAGAATAGGCAGCGGCACGGACCGAGGCAGCAGCACGGTCCTAGAAGGGAGTCCTGGCGCCCTTCCTGGCTAGCTCCAGGGCTTTGGTGAGTGAACACTGTCTGCTGGTGCCTCGGGCTTCGGGGAAGTCGCCACTCAGCAGAGTGACAAATCATCAGAGTGTCAGGTCGGAGGCCTGGGTCCTGAACATCAGGGCTGTCTCTGTAGCGGTATGCTGAACAGCAGGGCTGGACGGCCTGTCCTCACCATTTCAGGGAGATCATCACACTCAGGAACGCCTGGGGGACCAAGGGGGCCAGGCCTGCTCCCAAAGCCCCTTGTCCTCAACCTGGGGGGAAGGCCTCTCACGGCCTGGGCAGGCCTCAGAGGTGGCTGGAGGCCGCCACTCTCCCTGGGACCTATCTGTCCATCTGTCACTCTCATTATCAGGCCCAACAGAGAGGACCACACACTGCCAAGGCCTGCCGGCTCCACGGGCAAAGCACACAAGGAAGATTTATGAGAAGTTAACCTGTTGGATTAAAAACCAGAAGGAACCAGACCCCGGGGGACTGAGACCACAGGCGGAGGGTGGCCTCACCAGGGGACAGACAGAGCAGGGCTGGCTCGTACCTGGCGATCTCATAGAAGATGCAGGCTGCACTCCACAGGTTCATCTTGGAGGTGTAGAAGTCGTCAGTGAGCAGGCACTGGGGGCTTGGTACCAGCGGGTGGAGATGTACTCTGTACAGCTGAGTGGAGTAGACACTGCAGCAGGACCCGAAGTCCCCGAGTTTCAGGACTCCCTGCTGCAAGAGCGGGCGAACGGCATCTCAGTCCACAGCTGCTGTCAATGAATGAGCCCAAGCACTGGCACGAGCGGCTGGCTGTGCGGGCTGAAGGGCCTGCCCAGGATGGGGGTGCATCCACGCTCCGGCTAGGGCTGAGCTATCTCCCACTGGCCACGGGTGTGCAAGGCCACATCCTGGTGCCGGCCTGGACAGCCCCTCAGTGTCGCTGGGCTCCAAGGCCACAGCTCAGGCCACACGTGCTCTCCGCCATGTGGCCTCAGACAGGCGCCGGGACTCGGCCCATGGCACTTCACACATGGGTACACAGGTAGCTTTGAAGTGGCACACTCAGCTGTGGTGTACGACCCAATCCTGCCTCGAGCATGGTAACCTGGACAGGCCGAGTTTCCGCCTCCAGTGTGAGAGGGGACAGCACGCTCCCGCTGGTGGACAGGATGCTGATGACATTTCTTTTTTTTTGGTACCGGGAATCGAACTCAGGACCTTGTACTGCCAGGCAGATACAGTGTCACTGAGCCACATCCCCAGCTCACTGATGACATTTCTTTTTTTTTGGTACCGGGAATCGAACTCAGGACCTTGTACTGCCAGGCAGATACAGTGTCACTGAGCCACATCCCCAGCTCACTGATGACATTTCTTTTTTTTTTTTTTGGTGCCAGGGATCGAACTTGGGTCCTTGTGCTTGCAAAGGAAGTGGTGGAACTAAATCCCCGGCCCATGATGACATTTCTTAAGTAAACCTTTTCTAACCTTGAAGGGGAAAAACCTACCAGAAACAGGCTGTCCAGCTACCGGGGACTGCAAGCTCACCCAGGGAGAAAGGTGTCCTAGCCACGTTTACTCGACATCGGGCTTCCCTGTAAATTCTTACCTTTACCAGGATGTTTTCCGGCCTCACGTCTCGGTGAAATATCCCATTTCTGCAGTGGGTACAGAGGGAGAGTAGAACGCCTGCAGCTCCCCACACAGAGTTCACGTCTGAGCTGCCCTCCCAGCACGCCCCCCCCAACCCCCGCCCCGCCGAGAGCCCGGCCCACATCTGTGCATGTGGTCTAGGGACTTGCACAGCTGGTACATGTAGTGCATGACCTTCCTCTCAGAGAATTGAGTGTCTTCTCCCAGTGCCTCCAAGGGAGTGGGGCATGGTTACCAGGGCTGCCGCCCCATCTGAGCACACACCCCTAATGTGATGATGCAGGAGACCTAAGTTCTGGCAGAAAGCCGTCTAAGATGAGCCCAGGAGTTTGGAGTGCCTCTGCAGAGCCCGCCGCTGGAGCCCTGCACACTGGCGCGGCTTCCCCTAAACTCTGTCATCTGGCAGCTGGGCCTCGGGACACTGAACACCATGCTGGCCGAGAACACAAGAAGCCACCTAAAGCCTGGTCTTCTCAGGCTTCCTACCTATGAGGAGCTCTTCACTGTACTTATCTTGAGATGAGGTCTTCTACATTGCCCTGGCTGATCTCAGACTTCTGGGCTGAAGTGACCCTCCTGCCTCAGCCTCCTAAGTAGCTGCGTTGTTACAGGCATGGGCCATGGTGGCCAGCTTTGGAGATTTCCATTTTCAAGGAGAGAGATTATGGTTCAACACAAGTCCCTCTGCTTGCTTTGGATTCCACAGTTCACACCATCTTCCCTTTATTTATTTGTTTTTCTAGACAGGGTCTCACTATGTAGCCCAACCGGCCTGGAACTCACGGTGATCCTTCTGCCTCAGCCTCCTGGGTGCTGGGATTATAAAGCTCCAGCCACACCACCTTGCTTCACAGCAGATGCCTGTTCAGCTCAGTCCCCACAGACAATGCCTTGCGGCAGTGCCACGCCATGCTCAGGGCAGCCGGCCCGTCTCCCCAGGGCTTCCTGTTATGTCCTGGGACTCTCAGCCCTGTGTGCAGGAGCAGGGCACAGCTCCCTGGCTCCATTCAGAGCTCAGTGTTCTTAGCTTCGTTTCATTTTTTGCAGTGCTAGGGACTGAACCCAGGGCCTTCACACTGAGCTACATCCCCAGCCCTTTTTAATTAAAAAAAATTTTTTTTATTTTTTTTATTTTTTGTTTTGTTTTTTTGGTGCCTGGGATTGAACTCGGAACCAGGCTGGGCTACACAGCGAGACCCTATCTCAAAAAACAACAACTCCACAAAATGTGGTATATAATACCAGTAACAGTATTCAGATTTTGCTGGGTGCAGTAGCACATGCCTCTGCTTCTAGCTCCTCTGAAGGCTGGGACAGGAGGATCACAAGTTCAAGGCCAGCCTGGGAAACTTAGAGCCTGTCTCAAAATAAATAAAGAGAAAAGGCCTGCGGATATAGCTGGGTGGTGAGCGCTGGTCCATCGAGTGAACGCAGTGCTGTGTCACAGTGGCATATCTGCCACCCAGTGCTTTGGGACTCTGTCCCCACCAAAGCCTGGCTCTCCTGCTCGGCCCAGAGGCGCCCGCCAGGCTCACTGCCCCAGAGAGCAGCCTGGGCCTGAGCAGAGCCGGCCACTGCCAGCGCTTGGGGACAGAAGCGCTGCCCCTGCAGGCCAGAGTCTCAGCGGAGAACGGCATGGAACTCGGTCCCACCCAGCCCAATGCCCAGCGCTGGGACACACAGAACTCCACTTCCTTCCTGTGTATGCGAAGTGCATGGGGAAAACAGAGAACTCCTGATGAGGATAAAATTCACAGCTAAGTAATAAAGCTTCGCATCTTAGGTCAATGGGTAACATTCCTTCTTTCCTGCTGGTACATAAAAAGAAAGGTGCCTCTTAGAGTCAGTGGGTCGGATCTGATGAAATATAAAAACACAACTGAATTAGCCAGCCCTGGTAGTGCACGCCTATATTCCCAGCACCCGGGAGGTTGAGGCAGGAGGTCTGCAAGTTCAAGCCCAGCCTGGGCAACTTAGTGAAACCCTGTGCATGTTGCTTAGTGTGCAGGCCCTTGGTTCAGTCCCTAGTACCAAAACAAAACAAAAACAACTGAATTTTCTCACACAGCAGTGTTTGCGAAATCATTATGTTGCTTGGTAATAAGGCATGGAGCCTGAGTTATGTGCGGGCTGGGCCGAAATGCTGGTTGGAATTGACAATCAGACCAAGTTGCCTTTACTTTTTCCAATTTGGCTCATGCGCCAGTATCATGGCTCACTTCAGGCCACCCGCACCTGGACTGGCACAGCTGTGGCTTCGGCGAGGACAGCTCTCCTGAGTCCCCTCCCCAGGAGCCTAGGTGGTGGGAGCCGTGTCTCTCGTCCCTGCTGTGTTCCATCCAGACCCCTTTCCTGCCCTTGCAGAAGGCCACGTCAGCCTGGGGTCCTCAGCCCTCGGCGTCTGTCACCCGCTGGACGAGAAACTCGCCCAGCAGCCCGCTTCCTGCTGCACTTCCGCCTCATGCCTGCACTCGCTCTGCACCCCAGAGGACACGCACAGGCTGAAGAGCTGACTCTACAGCAGCCATGGAGAACCTTTCAGAGCTTTCAACGACACAAACAGCCCGCTGTGGCGCGGTGCCAGAGGTCCCCCCCATGCACTGCTACAGAGGGTCACCTCATCTGTCCAGACTGTTTGGAACAAGACACCAGGTCGATGAAGTTTACTCCTGAACATAAAACCCTTTTCTGTTGTAACCATGCTAAACAGGATTTCTAAAAATTGCAACAAGGCTGAAGTATGTTGTCCAGGCTGGCCTCAAACTCGTGATCCTCTTGCTTCAGCCTCCCAAGTGCTGGGATTACAGGTGCACACCCAGCCTAAACAGGAATTGTGAGCATTTCTCCCCTCCTGTACTCTCTGACCTCCAGGGTGCTGTCTGCTCCGCTTATCTGTGCTGTGTTCTGCATCTGCAGTCTGTGCCCTCCCTGCTGCCACCCTGTTCCAACCTCTCAGTCCTGACTGAGAAACAGGGTGCTGAGTCTGCAGCCTGCGCTTCTGAGGAGCTGGTGGAGGGCTGGTGGGCGCAGGGGCTTGTCACGTGTAAGAACCACCACCCGCTCGCTCCCAAACACAAGGCCGGTCCTATCTTCTGACAGAGACCCACAGTTCTGACCAACTCATACCCTGGAACTTTTTTCAGACTTGCCTCTCATACTGCTAATAATGTACTATCACATATTTAAATCACGTAATAAAATAAAGCCTGCTCCGTGTTCTGCATCTTTGACTTCAACTTCAGTTTGAAGTCTTTTAGTTGTGTCTATACTCAACGTGTTGGCACTTTTTCCTTCTCATCATTTCCTGAAAAATATTGCATATCAACTATGTTTTGTTTGTTTGTTCCCAGGCAGGGTCTCGCTATGTGGCCCAGGCCGGCCTTGAGCTCTGGGGATCCTCCCTGTTCCGCCTCCCAGGTGCTGGGATTGCAGGTGTGCGCCACCTCGCCAGCAACAGCAGAATAACTGTTTCCCGGCACCTACACTCTCTGTGGTCCTACACACACCAGAGATGCCACAAAACATGCCATAGGTTGTGCACGGCTACATGCAGCACTGTGCCATTTTACATCAGCAGCTTGAACACCCTCAAATTTTGGCTCTCTGGGGTTCCCAGATGCTACCCCAAGGATGCTGAGGGATAACTGTGCATTAGTTTTGATAGGCTGCTGTTTTCCATGTTGCCACTTCATGAAAACAATAACACCTGGACTTGTAAATATCTTCAACCACAAAAGTAGCTTCTCAGCCAGAATTCCCACAGCTCGGTAGTCTCATCCAATGTTTCAGACAGTACAGCTTTGTGGAGGGTTTTCAGCTTTTTTCTGTTTGGAATTTGTGTTTTGTTTGTTTTGGAGGGATGGGGTTTTTTGAGACAGGGTCTCACTATGTAGCCCGGACTGGCTTTGACCACACGGTGATCCTCCTGCCTCAGCCTTCCCAGTGCTGGGATCACAAGTGTGCACCACCACACCCAGCTCTGTGCCGTGTTGTGTACAGGTCACTGCACTATGATGATGTGTGGTTTTGAGAGCTATGACGAAGCATTTGTGAAGTACAAGCTTCAGAGAGGACCTTGGGCTTCCCAAATGTTCTACGTACCTCGTGTGAGCTCATAAATATTCATGTCCATAAGTTCACGTTAGTGCAAGAGAACCAGATTCTGTCACTGAAGAAGAAAGCAGGATTTTAAAACATTTTTTCCTCACCTTAATCATAAAAATACAGTCAAATATGTAATTCATTCGTAGGCAATTCTGGTAAATGCACGGCACTCCTACAACGGACAAAGAGGGCACGGTCATAAAACAATAGAGGCTTTTATCTTCAATCAATATTTCAGCTAAAATTAATTTAAAATGCTAGAAAACCCTACTTTAAGCACTATTTTAAAAACCTTTTGCTTTGTTTTGCTTCTTTTTTTAAGACAGGATCTCACTAAATTCAGGTTGGCCTTGAACTTGTAGCAACTTTCCTGCCTCAGCCTCCTGAGTGCTGGCCATGACCTTCTTTAAAGAGATGTTTGAAAATATAAAATTAAATAAAAATATGAAATTAACTACTAGAAGAGAGACAAAAAAAAAAAGAGAGTTGGCTAAGCAAAACAACAAAGAAAACTGACTCTAAGTCATGTTCCATGGCTGCACATTTGGTTTTCCTTTATCTGCATTCCACTCCCCAGCCCACACAGAGAGCCCTGGGGAGGTCAGGAGGCCAGCGCAGAGCTGCAGGGAGAAGGCTGCCAGGCCGGGGGAACCCAGAGGACAGGCGTGCTTCTACCTCCTCCTTTTTGGGGGGCGGGGTGGCTAATGTAGATTGAACACAGGAACTCTGCACTCATTTACATCCCCAGCCCTTAAAAAAAATTTTGTGTGCGTAGAGACAAGGTCTCACTAAGTTTCCCTGATTGGGCTCCAACTTGTGATCCTCCTGCCTCAGCCTCCCAGAGTGCAGGCCTTCTTGAAAGGTCTGCAAACGTACTCTGCCAGTGGGCCACAAAGAGAATCCCCTGCAACACAGTCAACGGTGAGGACGGGGTGGCACAAGGCCCTGAACCCTGCCCTCCCAGGCACCTGTGATTCACACGCAAGGCCACAGTGTTTCAGCCAGGCTACAGGAGCCAAACCCTGCTTCCGGGACACAGGCCACCTACAGGAAGGCATTTCCACAGGGTGCAGGCACACATCTGTCCAAGTACAAATGTGACAGAAGAAAAAAATGAAGCCCAGCGCAGCGGCATATGACTGTAAACTCAGCAGCCAGGAGGCTGAGGCAGGAGGATCACTGGGTTCAAGCCTGCCTGGGCCACAGGGTGAGTTCAAAGCTAGACCGGACTACACAGTGAGACCCTATCTTAAAAAATTAAAATGAAATGAAAGCTGTTGCTCTCTGAGGCACAAAGCAATTATTTAAAATGTCTACATGGGGCCAGGGATTTAGCTCAGTGGTTCTGCCACCTGCCTCGAAAGTGCAAGGTCCCAAGTTCAATCCATGGTACCAAAAAAAAAAAATGTCGGCGCCTGCCTCGCAAGCGCAAGGTCCTGAGTTTGATCCCCAGGCACAAAAAAAAAAAAAAAAAAAAATGTCTACATGTTTTTCCTAAAAAGAGATCTAGTAGTTGTCATCCAATCTTCCAAGTCAGGAAACTGCGACGCCCCAGATTCACTCACAAAACCACCTTGCGCAGCGTGAGGATGTTCGGGTGTGGGTTCAGGCGTCTCAGAGCTTGTATCTCCCGCACACTGTTCACTTGTTCCACACTGGGGTGCAGTAAAAACAGACGGCTGATTCACAGTGCAGGTCTACCTCAAAATCCGGGTTATCGAATCATATTCATTATCCATTATCAGAATCTTTAAATTCACAAATTTTGAGCCAGTTGATTAGGGTTCATTTTTCCCACCAGAAATTGAGGTTAAAGGTTTATTTGCGGTACTGGGGATTGAACCCAGGGCCTTTGTACTGAGCTATATTCCCAGCCCTTCCTTGTGTTTCTTATTTTGAGATAGGACCTCACTAAGTCACTAATTTGCTTAGGCTGGGTTTGGACCTGAGATCCCCCTGCCTCAGCCTCCCAAGTGCTGGGATCATAGGTGTGCGCCACCACGCCCAGCAGCAGGATTCTGTTCTTTTTTTTCTGGTACTGGGGATTGAAGTCTGGTCCTTCCTCTTTCAAGGCAGATGGTGGAACCACTGAGCTAAATCCCCGGCCCCTAGGATTCTGTTCTTTTAACATGCAGAGGCCTCAGTGTTCTGTCGGGCATCCAGAGCACAGTCTGGGTACATTACTGCACATCACTACAGTTTTGTTTATATTCTCTTCCTGTAAGTCCAAGAGTTCACTAAGCTGCATGGAGCTGTCCACAGAAGGACCCGGCCTACACGAGCTCCCACACTCCAGTGGCGGGCTGGGGAGTGGCTGGAAGGCGTCCTCCCTGCGATGAGATTAGCAGGACTCTTGGGTGTGCAGGTGTGCACCTCACGTCACTCACAATCCACCCACATCCTCCCTCACGGCAGGACAGGTGACTGCTCCCACAGGGCAACACCCAAGAGGAAAGACAGGGCCAGTGCTTGGCCAGAGCGCAGAGCCTCGGGAGGCTGGGGACACACTGGGCAGCAGATAGCAGCTGCCCGTCACCTAGCCCAAGAGCCGTGTGACATGGAGCAACCATCATGGCCCGGCTGCTGTGACAGGCGCCACTGGGGACCTGCTGGGTTGTTATGCTGCTTGCAGCGCCCTGGCCCATGGTGCGGAGCCAGGACAGGACTTCTGTGGTGTCCCCACATGGCACACCCTGAGGAATAGGCCCATGGTCCCTGCGAACTGGAAAGCCACAGTTCAGTGGGCGCTCAACCTTCTCAGAAATGCAAACTTAGAAACTACAAAGCCAAGAAAACAGCTTGATTTAAACTAGGAGTTCCCAATCTGTTGGCCCAAGATATTTTCTTCATGATCTAGTTGATACCCTATGGGTCTGGTCCCCAAGGAGTGAGGCTGGGAAATGGATCTGCTGTGGGCAGAGAGCAGACAGCCTGGACAGGCAGAGCAAAGACTGTGGGCACTCCTGCACCCAGGACAGAGCCTCTGTGACTGAAACCCCAGGGAAGAGGCCACCAGGACCCCTGCATGGCCCCAAGCCTGCTGAGCTCGCAGGCGCTGGATGAGGCCACCCTGCCGGGTGACTGGCAGGCCTCTCCTTGTAGCATGCTGTGGCCAAGGGTTCTCTCCTGGGAAGGACTCTGCCCTCCAGGGACATGTGACATTGTCTAGGGACAGGTGCAGCCATCACAAATGAGAGACAGGGTGCTAGTGGCAGGCTCTAGTCAGAAGCCCTAGAACCAAGCATTACTCTGATAGTAAACCAAAACCAGAGAAAGATCCAACCAAAAAAAGAGATACAAGGGTTGGGGATTTAGCTCAGCAGTTCCATTGCCAGCCTCGCAAGCACAAAGTCCTGAGTTTGATCCCCAGTACCAAACCACCCGCCTCAAAAAAGAACCACAGGCCAATCTCCCTAATAAACAAACATAGACATGAAAATCCTCAATAAGATACTGGCAAATAGAATGCAGCAAATCATCAAGAAGACTGTACACCATGACCAAGCAGGATTCATCCCAGCAATGCAAGGATGGCTCAACATAGTGAAATCAATAAATGTAGTATGCCACATTAGCAGAGCCAAGGACAAATACCACATGATCAACTCAATAGATGCAGAAAAAGCATGTGACGAAGTCCAACACTCATTCATAATAAAATCCCTACAGAAAATTGGAATAGAGGATATTTATCTCAATCTGATAAAAGCCATCTATAACAAACCAATAGCCAATATCATAGTAAATAGACAAAAACTGAAATCCTTCACACTAAAATCATGAATAAGACATGGATGTTCACTGTCACCACTCCTGTTCAATACAGTTCTAGAAACATTAGCCACAGCAATTAGATAAGAAAAAGAAATAAAAGGAATAAAGATAGGAAAGGAAGAATTTAAACTATCATTATTTCTGGATGACATGATACTCTACATAGAAGACCCCAAAAACTCCACCAAAAGACTCCGAGATAGAATAACCAAATTCAGTAGTATAATAGGATACAAAGACAGGGGCCAGGGATTTTTAGCTCAGTGGCTCTGCCACCTGCCTCGCAAGCACAAGGTCCCAAGTTCAATCCCCAGTACCAAAAAAAAAGTCAACACTCAAAAATCAATAGCTGGGCCAGGGATTTAGCTCAATGGTTCCGCCGCCTACCCTGCAAGTGCAAGGACCCGAGTTTGATCCCCAGTACCAAAAAAAAAAATCAATAGCCTTCCTTTACATAAATAACAAACTCACTGAGAGAGAAATTAGGAAAACAATACCTTTCAGAATAGCATCAAGAAAAATGAATTACTTAGAAATCAATCTAACGAAGGAAGCATAAGACCTTTACATTGAAAATTACAGTACTCTGAAAAATGGGATTGAAGAAGATATCATAAAATGGAAAGATATCCCTTGTTCTTGGGTAGGGAAGAATTAATATAGTAAAAATGACATACTTCCAAAACTGTTATATAAATTTAATGAAATCCTAATTAAAATACCAATATCATATCTCACAGGACTAGAGAAAACAATCCTGAAATTCATCTGAACCAGAACAGACCTAGAATAGTGAAAGCGTTTCTGGGCAACAAGGACAAGGCAGGGGGCATCACAATCTCCGACTTAAAATTATACTACAAAGCTACTGATAAAAGCAGCATGCTACTGGCAAACAAAACAAAACAATAAAGAAACCAGACCTGCAGATCAATGGAACAGATCAGAAGATGCAGACACAACTCCAAATGCATTTAGTGACCTTATCTTTGACAAAGGGGCCAAACACCTTCACTGGAAAAAAGATAGGCTCCTTAATAAATGGGTCTGGGAAAACTGGCTTTCCACATGCCGAAGATTAAACCTAGACCCATAACTCTCACCAGGCACTGAAGCAAAATCAAATGGATCAAAGATCTAAATATTAAAACAGAAACACTTAATCTGTTGGAAGACAAAATAAGTAAAACGCTTGAAGACATAGGTGTAGGCAAAGACTTTATGAACAAAACCCTGATTGCACAGGAAATATTACAAAGAATCAACAACTGGGACCTCATCTCATTAAAAAGCTTTGCACAGAGAAACCACCAACAGAGTGAAGAGACAACCCACAGAGTGGCAAAAGTTTTTTGCCAGCTATTGCTCAGACAAAGAACTAATATCTAGAGTATATAAAGAACTAAGAAACCATCAGACCCCCTTAATTTAAAGACCCAATCCAAAAACAGGTATCTGAAATGAATAGACACTTCTCATGAAGAAATATAAATGACAAATAAAAATATGAAAAAATACTCAACATCACTGGCCATTCGAGAAATACAACAGTGAAATTCCACCTCATTCTAGAAAGAATGGCTGTCATCAAGAATCAATGACAAATGCTGCCAGGGGTACAGGGGAAAAAGGAACCCTTCTCCACTACTGGTAGGAGTGTAAATTGGTACAACCACTGTGGAAATCAGTGTGGAGATTCCTCAGAAAACTGAAACTGGGGGTTCCACTTGACCCAACTATTCCCATTCTTGGCATTTTCCTGAAAGAATTAAAAGCCCATCATACCACAGCAGTATTTGCACACCCATGTTTATGGCAGCACAATTAGTAATAGCTAAGTCTTGAAAACTGCCAGGCGTGGTGGCCCACACCTCTAAACCCAGCACTCAGGAGGCTGAGGCAGGAGGATCACCATGAATTAAAGGCCAGCCTGGGCTAGTGAGTTCAAGGCCAGCCAGAATTACATAGTCAGATCCTGTTTCAAAAAGCCAATAATAAATAAACAAATAAATATAACAAAATAAATCTTAGAAACAGCCCAGATGCCCATCACTGGATGAATGGATAAAGAAAATGTGTTTTTTGTATACAATGGAGTACTACTCTCCCATAAAGAAGGATAAACTTGAGATATTTTTAGGTAAATGGATGTCCCTTAAGACCATACTTCTAAATGAAATAAGTCACACAACACCTGTTTAAATATTGAATTGTTTCTCTCGTTTAAGAAATCAAAAGCACAAATAAGGATCAAAATGGGTGACAAATATTGGGAAGTAGGAAGAAAATGTTCAAATGGGAAGGAGGACCAGGGAGGGGAGAGTGAGAAGGGAAAGAAGGGAAAAGGAAAAGAGAATAGAAGGGCCGGGGATTTAGCTCAGTGGTTCCGCTGCCTGCCTCACAAGCACAAGGTCCTGAGTTCAATCCCCAGTATCAAAAAAAAAGGAATGGGAAAGAGAATAGAAGGAAAAAATAGAAACAAAGCTTTTGTAAAGGAGGGGAAGAAAGGCTGAAGGGAGGGGAATAAGAAAAAAAGAATTATGTACAGGTACTATCCCTGTGATGTGATCTTTAAGTATATCAAAATTATATCAATAGGGCCGGGGATTTAGCTCAGTGATTCCACTGCCTGCCTCCCAAGAGCAAGGTCCTGAGTTCGATCACTGGTACCAAAAACTTAAAAAAAAAAAAAAAAAAAAAAAAAAGGAGGCCAGGAATGTAGCCCCGTGGTGCCACACCTGCCTAGTAAGTGCAAGATCCTGAGTTTGATCGCTGGTACCAGAAAAAAATAAAAATAAAAATTTAAAAGTACAAAAAACCCCAAAACATAACATTAGCCCCTAATCCTCACCGCGCAGGGAAATGTGACTGTACGTTGCACAGAATTAAACAGTAGTTTATTCCCACTGACATCAAGCACCCTGCTGCGCCTGCTCCGCCTGCCCACCTATGAAGTGCTGCTTCATCTGTTTACAGGTGTAGAATCCCCCATCGAGCAGGCTCTGCATCTTTAGGACTTCAGAAAATGTCCCCTCTCCTATCTTGCTGAGTGCTTTGTAGTCTAGAAGGAAACAGTATTAAGTAAGCATTACCTGTGCACTGTGCAGGACAACTTGCAGGAATGGGTGCAGAGGCCGCCATCATCGTGGGCTTCAGACTGGGCAGCCGTCGCATTGTGTCTGTTCTCCTGCCAAACCCTGACACAATAAGTACCGTGTAGCTAACGCTGCGAATAAAACCCTAAACTTCTTTTTTTAATACAAGGTCTCACTACGTAGCCCACACTGGACTGGGACTCCCGGCCATCCTCCTGTGGTGGCCTCCTGAGTGCTGGCATCACAGTGTGCACCACCACTCCCGGCTAAACCCCACACTTCTGCAGCACTGGCTAAGCATCGAGGTGGCAGGGGGCAGGCAGGAGGCTACTGCGAGGACCAACTGCAGCGGAGACAGCTACCTGTCGCAAATGGAGGGTCACAGCCCGCCAGTGGCCCTGGCCCAACCCCCCCCTTCCCAGGGACTTCAGGATAAAAACAGGCACAGGCCGCTTTTTGAGCCATCATGGAAGGAATAGGGGCTGGGGTAGTCCTGCAGCTCAATAACAGGGAACACAACAGTGAGAACCCGGGCAGAGGGCATCCAGCTCAGTGGGACAAACAGCCTGGACTCAGGGCTGTGAGCAACGTAAGTTGCCTGGGTTCTGCTCCCAGTGCTGCAAAAACCAAAACCATGAAACCAGGATGACCAAAGATCTCAAGAGGCAGCCGAGAGCGAGACAGAAGCTCAGGTGAACTGAGACGGAGCAGCCCGGGGTGAAGCTGTGAGAAAGGCAGGCAGGCTGGGCAGCAGGTGCGGAGGACCTGACCAGAAGCTGCAGTCGGAACAGAGCAACAGGAGGGGCCCTGCTGCAGGGCAGCCCAGAGCCAGGTGCCCTCACCTGCAGGCCTGGCCTGCACAGCAACACAGAGAGTGTCACTTCAGATCCAGATGAGCCCAGGAGCCCGGCTCTGGGGAGCAGTCTGTGCAGCAGGAGGGAGGGCCTGGCCTGGCCTGGCTTGGAAGCTTTCTCCTGCGCCCAGTTCCTCCCTTCTGTGAGCAGCTCCACCATGCCCGCGCCAGGCATCCTGCCTTGGCACTGACCAACCGTGTCCTCCCTTAAGCTGCAGTGTCAGGCACAGTATTCGGTCCCAGCAACCAGAAAGTGACCAAGACAGCAGGCTTTCTACAGTTCAGCCCTGAGGGAGGGGGTCCTCACACCATTCAGACACGTACGTTTTGAACACCTTGTCCAAATTCTCATTTAAACAAACCAACTGTAGGAAGATACTACTTTCTTTCGAAGGGCTAATGGTTATGTTTAAAAAAGAAAAAAGCCCAAAGCAAGGTGTATACCTATAATTTCAAGCCATTCAGAAGGCCAGGAGGCTGATGTAGGAAGCCTGCCTGAGCCCAGGAGTTGAAGGCCAACTTGACAACAAAACAAGACCCTGTTTCAAACGAAAAAGGAAAAAGAAAGAAAGAAAAAGAAGAGTTATTGGGCTGGGGATTTAGCTCAGTAGTGTTGCTGCCTGCCTTTCAAGCACAAGGCCCTGAGTTTGATCCCTGATACAAAAAAAAGATTATTATCTATTAGCAAGACATACAGAGGTAGCCAGGGGGTGGGATGGCGCATGCCTATAATCCAGTACTTGGGAGGCTGAGGCAAGAGGATCACTGTGAGTTCGAGGCCAGCCTGGACTACATAGCAAGACCCTGTCTCAAAGGCGGGGGTGGGGTGGGGTTTACAGAGGTATTTCCAGGAGGAATGGAATGATATGGGGATGTTTGGGATTACACTGAAACTCTCTGGTATACTCTCACTCACTGTCACTGAAAGTGTAGACTGAGGCAGCCTTCGGAGCACAGGGCTGTAAATGCACACTCTTGCCTCAGCAACTCCAATTCTAGAACTTACATAAAAACGCTTTCTCGGTGTACATGTTATTGCAGCATTAAAAAATTTAAATTTAAATTTAAAAAAATTTAAAAAAAAAACAATAAA